ACAGAATCCGCAGTCTAAACAGACCTGAGTTGGTTTTATTATATCTCTACCAACAGGATGAACCCCAACAAAATTTAGGATACTGCTTGCCAAGTAGGGTTTCTTGGGAACATGTGTAGGTAAAATCACAACACTATGTCCCTCTGGCAGTCAAGAATAAAATTTGTCTCTGGTCCCCTACTAATAAAAGGAGATCCAGCACCTTATGGATTCTTTGTGTGTTGTAGATAGCATGTGTCTCACTTGGGCATTCTACTTGGTCTTCTGTATCAGCTAATTCACAGATTGATATCCTTTGAGTAGAGGAACAAATCGACAGGCTATATTGAAAGCTGCCCAGCAAGCTGTGGCACACTCTCTACCTTTGGGGATTCACAGAGATAATTACTCCTATGGCCTAAAAGTCTATGTGATTGATGATTTTTCCTATTGTATCCCCTGGCAAAGAGAGGCACTTTATAGCTGGAGGTGGCCCTGGAGGCTTTTGACTTGTTTCCTCCATGACACAAGTACCAGGTATAACCCTTTTGAAAAAAACATTAGCTTGATTAACTTGGACTTAATTATTAACAAGGTGTAAAGAGCCCAACAGATCTCTCCTACCTAGGGGAAATGGCATATTCAAGAACATAGCTGGCCTGGCCCAGTGGCGTCTTGGTTTCGCATGAAAAAGTGTGAGCTATATCCCAGTCTGCTGACTGAAGCAGAGCTGCTGGCTCAGTGGGGCCCTCTGTTCACAAGGGTTCCTGAAAATGTCTGGGTGTGGTCCACTGATGGTTTAGCTAAGCCAAGCCCTGTGGTGCCCAGTAGGTGGTTACAGCTGTTAGCCTCAGCACCAGCTACGCAGAGCGGAAAATAGCAGCTGTGATTTGTTTCCAGTGTTTATGGCCCCAGTCTGTAGTTTTCCAAGTGACAGACCAAACACCCAGGCCATTGGCAATAGTTCAAGTCATTGAAAATAAAGCAAAGTTCATCAAAGGGCAAGTTGGCCATGGTTAGGAAGATAGCTTTAAGTTCTGTCCACTGAGCCCCTCCCCTGTTGGGAGTAACTGGAATCAAACTATTGATTGCTATTACGCTATCCAGATTGCCATGATTGATGTCTGAATTCATCATCTTTCTAGATGTGGCAATGCATTTACCATCACATACTTGACATAAGGACAAGGACTCTGTATTTTTGCTACAGAGGCTAACACCGAATACCACACTGTGACTTCTGCCAAGATTTGACCATTTGTTCACAGTGAGGGAGGCCACTTGCACAAGATGTTGTCCCTGCTTACTCCTGGCAGACAGACCACATGGCACCTTTGACTCTCTCCTGGGAGTGGCCCTTCTTCAGATCAAATTGGCTGTTCCAATTTTATCAGCCCACTCTGGCCACACAACTGTGACCTTTGAAACTAATCTGTGTTATGTGTTTCAAAATCTGACAATTGTGTACCTTTTTTTTTCTAGAAGGGTAAAGAGAAGACCCTGAGGGGTTGTGTATCTTTTATCACAAAACCCCATCAATCTTCAATGTATCTTTCCTATCTATCATTTGAAGACCTCTGATACTATTTAGTGTTTGTATGGCTTCCTCAAAAATGAACACAAAAATATTTCTGACTTTGCCTCCCTCACATTCTTCTGGTCCATACAACTTGGTCAGGTAGTCTGGTCACTGAATATAACCATCCCTAGGAAGTGATCATCCACTCATGGCTGCTTCTGTGGTGATGATTAGGGAAAATAGGATAAGAAGTTATATGGACCTATTTTGGAAACTCAGGAGGCTTTCCTGATCACTGCTGGGTTTTGTTTCTTCTTTTCCTCACACAGCAACCTCAATCTCACCTGGTTGGTATAGCCTCTCACCAAAAGGAACCCAAGAGGATTCAAAATTAATTTTGATTCTTGTACCTGAATTCTCTTGTTGTATTGTTGTGGTCCTAGATTATAAGAATAATGACCACTTTGTTGAGTACACTGTTTGCTAAGTCATCTTATAGTGGAAATTGTGGGTCCCCAAGAGGGAACTTTTAGACTCTGGGAAATACAAGAATGAGAAGACAAATTGATCTTTTGTTTTTCAGAGCTATTCCTGGGACCCTCATCCTGAAGGAAGTCTTATAAAAGATACTATAAAAGATTTCGATTCCCTGAGGTTGGTGATCTTCTACTCATGTGGAAGTATCACCTGGGTTTTTCTTGCTTTGTCTTGTGGGAATTGAGGTTTGGGGAATCAGCATAAAAATGATATTTTAGCTACTGATATCTTTATGAAAAATAAAATGTCTTTGTCTCCATTGCCAGCATCCATGAAACTGTGCCAGGCTAACTTGTAAGCTTACAATTAGGGTTGTATCTCAGAATCTTTATATTTGTTGAGAGTCTTGTGATCTCTTCTTTGACCTCTGGGTTATTTAGAAGTGTGTTGTTTAATTTCCAAATATGTAGGATCTCCCAAATTACATTCTGTTGTTGATTTTTGTTTTGTTTCTATTGCTGGTGAAGGAAATACTTTCGATGACATAAATCTCAATTTTTTTCTTAAGACTTGTTTTATATCCAAGCATTATCCTAGAGAATGTCCCATAAATGCCTGAAATAAATGCATATTCTTCTTAGGTTTGGGGGAGTGCTCTGTAAATGACAATTAGATCAGTTTGATTGATTGTGCTGCTCAGATCTTCTATGTTGTTCTGTATTTTCTATCTTGTTATTGAGTAATATATTGACATTTGCAACTGTGGTTGTTGAATTGTCTGTTTCTCTTTTCAGTTACATTAGTATGGCTTCATATATTTGGGGGCTATGTTATTAGGTATGTATACATTTATAATTGTTATATCTTTTTTGTCCTTTGGCCCTTTTGTCATTACAAAATGCCTTTCTTTGTCTCTAGTACCTTTTTTTTTTTTTGGTCTTAAAGTTATTTGTCTCTTATTAATGTCACTATTCTAGCTTTCTCAATTACTGTTTGCATGTATGTCTTTTTCCATCCTTTTACTTATATTTAATTGTGGTTTTGACTCTAAAGTGTGTCTCATTTAGGCAGCATATAGTTGGATTGATGACTTTATCTAGTGTGACAATCTCTGTCCTATTGTGGTGTTTAGCATATTCTCATTGAATATTATCAATATTGCTTGACCTTTTAAACTTTTCTCTCTAAATCAGTCAACAATAACCCAGACATGAGCCAATTTAGCATAATTCTCTTAAAGTATGCAAAAGGATTCACTGTATATTAGAAACTCCCTTTATTCAGGAAAATGAAACAGGGAGTATCTTTCCTCTGTTTCTGTGTCACCATACCTAAGGATATGATTTCCCTTGGAGTCAGGACTGCTATGTAGGAAACATTGACTAGTAAGTAGATCAGTGCCACAAGGGTAAGTGCTGTAATCACACATTTGGGGACAGTCTCACTAGGGTTTTTCAGCTCTCCTGCAAAAAAAAAAAAAAAGCCACTCATAAAAAATGATGAATTATATAACCTTTGAAAGTGGTTTCAATGTTAACATTTATTAAGAAAAAGAAATGACTGCATGCAGCAAGAGTTCACTTTTGTTGAATATTTATTTACTATGTCTTTGGTGAACTATTGATTGTAGAAGCAACAGCATGGTGCTAATTTCTGGGTTTCAAAGTTATATATCTGTTATACTCAACATGAGCCTCTTGGATAAGAAAGCAACTCAGAAAACCTGGATTCTAGGTCAGGAGGGCTGGAAAAAATCTTCCTTTCCCTTATGGCCAACACTGTAGAACTATAACTAGGTGTTAATGAAGGTTTGGAACAGCTTAACTGGTCACAGCATCCCAGAACTTTAGGATAGACTCTCCTGCTATTTTTACTCCTAGGATTAAGTCTCTACACTAATTAAACCTTGGATTAAACTTGAGTGTATATTGCCAACACTGAAACTGACATAGGTGTTTAACTGTTTGGAAAATAGAAAATTATATTATTAACTCACACTATGCAACTTCTTCAAAATAATTCATGTGTATTAAAAAGTAAAATATAAAGTAAGACAATACAGATTTAGAGAAAGCAGCATAGACACATATTTATCTAAATCTTGAGATGGGGAAAGACTTCTCAAGTATGAAAACAATGAAAAATTAGAAGATTGATAGTTTGATACTACAGGTATTAAACTTCTAGTCTTAAAAATCTTATGAAGAAAAATTGTAAAATCCAACAAACTGGGAAAAATATTTACATGTCTTACAAAGAAGAAATGTAAATGATCATGAACATTTGCAAAACTCTCCCCTCCCAATAGAAATTGAAGAAAAAGTGAGTTCTAACACTGAAACTTGATTTCCACAAATCTAAAGTTATGTAAAAAGGTATGATGATGCCAAGAGTAGTCATTTTAATTCACACTGGTAGATATATTTGTAGAGCCTTTCTGGAAGACAATTTGGCAATATTTCTCAAGACATTTCTAAATATTTGTTTCATTTTGTAAGTTTACTTCAAAAATTTTTTTCTAATAAAGCCATGAGAAACCCGCAAAGATCCACATAAAAGGATGCTTATTGGAACAATAAGTATAAAATTTTAAAGTGAAAAACTGGGAACAATCCTGGGATCCAACAGTGAAAAAATGTTTGGAAAATGGTCAAATTTCATAAGATAGAATACTGTGTATTCATGAAAAAAACATTTATATTTAATAATATTTATGAATTCTCACTATATACTTTAAGTAAAATAAAGTTAAAAAGAGTAAATTAGCAGTGTGATCTCCACATGTGTGTATATACAAAGTAATTGGTTACAGATAATCTTTATTTTAATTTATATTTCCTGGATTTCAAATTTTTTCTCTGGTGAGGGTCTGTTTTAATTAGTAATTGTAGACTATTAAAATGTTTGTTCACTTAAAAAAATGCAATTGCTGTGGAGTTCTTAAGCCATGTCAATTTTATGTTTACTTGTTTTAATTTGTAAACACCTGGAAAATATTTTGCTTTCCCAGGTTGGAAAGCCACATTTGTAGAGAGTTTAATGCATTTCTATTCATCTGATGGAAGCAACAGAGAGACACATTATAGCAAAACAATGTACTATTTCTTTCTTAGAATTGAGCTGTTTAAATTAACAACTATATTTTTATAGCCTCTTGGTATTTTTTATAATTAAAAAATAATAACTTTACCTGCTATTCAAACAAGGACTCCCCAGCCAGAATATGCATATAGTCCTTGTAAGAAGGCTTCTGCCATCTGCGAGGCATTTGGAACTTCACCGTCGAAAGCTTTCTCAAACCTGGCAAGGTTCTCCTTTCTTCCTCTCACCACCAATACGAGTCCAGTTACGGATATGAAGCAGAGAACTGTCATTTTCACAACCGTACTGACAGTCTGAAACCAAGTCACTTCCTTCACTCCTCGAGCATTCAGAATTCCCAAGCACCATAAAATGGCCAGCGCTAAACATTTCTTCGGCATCTCGGGAACAAAGCATCTGGGATAGAAAGGCTGGGTGATATACCCTGCTAATAACAAGCCACGGGCAGTGGTTCCGGCTGGGGTACTAAACAGATTGATCCAGATATAGAAGAAAGCAATGAAAGGTCCAAGAGATCTCTTGAGGAAATAATACTGTGCTCCACTCCGAGGGAAGGTGGTCCCCAGCTCGGCGTGACTCAGAGCGGCCATCGTAGACACTATGGCGCAAGCCACACAAATGCTTAGGGAGACCCCCACGTTGAGCGAAGAGTACTTTAGCACCCCTTTAGGAGCAACAAATATTCCTGCACCTATTATGATACTGAATAAAAAAATTGTTCCATGGAAATATCCTATTACCCGTTGAAGCTGAATACTTCCACCCATCTTCATTAATTTAATGAATTTTAACAGCTAACATAAATTCACAGTTTTTACTCTGTTCTTCTCATGGAAGGCTTCAGCCAATCTTCTCACAGTTAAGTGCTTTGCTTTCCCCCTCTTGTCTTACTCAAACAGATTTTGTTCCAGCACCGAACGTAATTAAAAAAAAATTAACTTATGAGTTAACTGAACTCAAGTTTCTGAGATCTTAATATCAGAGTTAAAATGTTTTACACGTTAAGCTTTTTAAAGGTTATGCACAATTAAACAAGTTAGCCACAGCTAATTGGGAGTGAGAGATGAAAAATTCCAAGTCAGATTTCTTCTATGGATATGTAACCTCATTAATTTTGATCCTTAAACAAGTAATTCTTTAAGTTTGTACCATGAGGAAGTTCTTGTAGCATGACAAAAAGTATAAGGTTTGAATCACATGTTTGCCATTTGTTAGCCGATTTTGGTTTGAATCAAACATATAGTGCCACTTAATGATAAATTTATGTCACTTAATGATTTTGGATTTTGTTGTTTTAAAAACTATTACTAACACTCCCTATCTTATTCCCAAACTTATTTCCCCCTTAATAGAATTAAATAAGGCAATTTACTGATGAAGCAAATAGGAATGCAATGCTCCTAGGAGTTATACCTAACATACCTTACCAGTCCATTCATGTTAGTTTCATAATTTAGTTATTTTAATTATCACTATCTGCATTATACACAGCTACAGCTTCTCTACAGTGCTTTAAAAACATTTTGCAGTTACTTGCAAATTAGACTTAATTTTTGACAAACAGGTCACAGTACACATATATAGGGTTTTACATTTCCCCACACCAATACCTTTGTAGGGGCATAATTCATCCTTTCAGCATTATTTTTTTCTATATTTTCAGCTACTTATTGATTTAAGAAAATTTTTGAGCATCTGATTTTTTTCTAGGTACTGTGTGAATCAATACATATACAGGAATGACTAAGACATGGTCTTGTTCACTATTTTAACCCTGATACCTGGTCCAGCTAGTGGTACACAGTATGTCTCAGTAAATCTGTTAAATTAGTGATCCTTATCTTCCAGAAGCTCCTATCTAGAGAAGAAGATGTATATAAACCCAGATTTTTTCCCCAACTTAACCAATTTTATTCTTTATATTAAAAGAAATTTTTGGTAACATTTTATTTTTATTGAAGTATAAATCAGTTACAATGTGTCAGTTTCTACTATACAGCATAATGTCCCAGTCATGCATTTATATATACATACACACATATATATATATGTGTGTATATATATATTCATTTTCATTAAAGGTTATTACAAGATATTGAATATGGTTCCTTATGCTGTACAGAAGAAATTTGTTTTTTATCTATTTTTATATATAGTGGTTAGCATTTGCAAATCTTGAACTCCCTAATTTATACCTTCCCATCCCCTTTCCCTGGTAACCATAAGATTTAAACCAAAACTTTTTATATACCCATTGTGAGTTTCAACATGGTTATACTAATAATGGCTAACATTTAAATGATACCAACTATGTGCCAGGAACTATGTTTAATACTTGTATTAACTCATTAAGTCACATCAAGCACCATACAGTACCAATAGATGAGAAATGAAAGTGTAAGAAATGCCAAATGCTGGAGAGGCTGTGAAGAAAGGGGAACCCTCCTACAAAGCTGGTGGGAATGCAATTTTGTGCAGCCACTGTAGAAAACAGTATGGAGATTCCTCAAAAGACTAGGAATAGACTTACCATATGACCCAGGAATCCCGCTCTTGGGCATATATCCAGAAGGAACCCTACTTCAGGATGACACCTGCACCCCAATGTTCATAGTAGCACTATTTACAATAGCCAAGACATGGAGACAGCCTAAATGTCCATCAACAGATGACTGGATAAAGAAGAGGTGGTATATTTATACT